AACAAGCAAAGGGGAAGACAGTGTGTATTAAGTTTTTGGACCGAATTAAACGCTTGTGCAACACAAACTATACAGCGGACGTTATCAATTAGGCAAGAGATAGCCAGCATTGGAATCTCTTAACCGCTGAGTGTGTTTCACATATGGCACTTGAAAAAGATTATTACTACATTCAAAAAATACATTTCCCCTTATATGGACAAAAGCTAAAGTTCATGAATATTATAGTTAGTCTTCAAAGTGCTGAAATTTACCATTTCCTGTATTTCCCTTAACAGATTTGTACTTTCTGTGCAATGGCTTCTACTATGCTTATGGGGTTCATTGTTAAGCTTAATTTTTTACTATGTCCCACAAACTAACTTTATGAGCACATTACAATAACAACTGTTTTTCTTTTTATTATTTTCATGAAACACATAACATGTGGGAGACACGCAGATGCCCCTGAATGTAATCAATGTATTCAATCAAAGTTGTGACGGTAATGCAATGACCTGCAACAAGTAGAGGTCAATCATTCTTCCAATACAATTATGGGATGCAGCACAGAGTAGGTAATAAAAATCCACTTTTGAATGAAAATGCCGACAAATAGGAGTAAACTGTACAACATAAATACAATAAATTTATTAAAGTTATTCACTAACAGAAGAAAGGATAAATCATCAACTTGACAGTTTGAATACAAGGGAGAATAAGTTTAAAACTTGGTATTCAATTCAGTAAAAGACATACCAACGACCTTCAACTCTTATACAAGGCATTGAACTTTTTTTTAAATAAATTGGATAAATCCAGGTGAATCTAGGAATAAACGAAAGATAAATGTAATGATCAAATCAAGGACTAGGAGAGTTTAACCTGTATTTAAATTGTCACCCATGTTTTTAAATTTTATGTTGGTAATTAAATTTTATGGCTAATTTCCTAATAAATCTAGGGTATGACCGAGATAATTTATACAATACACATGATAGTGACATTACTCAAAGAAAGAAAAAAAATAAATAAATAATACATAATAGTTAAAATTGAAAACTAAAAGTGCTTTTACGCATTTAACATTTTAAAAGTATAAACAAGAACCAATATCTTCAGTATTTTCGTTGATAAATATTCTAAGAAAAATTATCAATTCATAATCTTTTAATCAACTAAGTATCTTAGCTTCCAATCAATGAAATGTACTATTTATTAATTATTACAAAATGTTCTCCACCCAAACTAATGTATTAATTTCAATTTCAAACCAGTTAATTCACCAAATTGAAAATGATAAACCCAAAACAGTGTTGATAAAAGAAATCACTATAGAAAATATTAAATAAATAAAATTATTCATAAAATTTATATTGCATAGGTGCTTTCAACTTTATACTGCATAGGTGTTATTCTTTAATAAATATCAATAAAACCAATTGGAAACCAATGAATATCAATATTAAGCATGCACCAATGTTTAACACATTTATATTCAATAAATATCCATATTTTTATGAAATCATTAACTTATGAAATAAATATGAAAACAAATATAAATATAAATCTGAAAAACAGCAAAATTTAATTAGAAAAGGAAAAATCAAGGCAAAAACATAGATCCTACAATATTAATTTCAAAGCGAAATTAATTATAGCATTATTATAATTTTAATAATTACCATTATTATTACCAATATTATGCAATATGTCAATATACTTGTTAATTACTATAGAATATCAAGGCCTTAATTTTTCAAATATAAATTTATATATTTTTCTAGCAGCTTCCAAGACACCTGGTGATCAGCGACTGTAGCAATTATAAGGCACCTGTCCTTGCCTGTCTCCAAGTCAGTCTCACCTGCAAATTGCTATTAAAGTGAACAGCATCTTGGAGAGTGTTAGACGGTACAGTTGGAGTGTTAACACAATGTATTATGCACTATGATAGGGATTTGGCTACATAATCGTGAACAACTCAATTACATGTGTGTTGTGCACACACACGGACGCGAATCAATGTGTAAATCAGGCCACGACTTTGAGGCGACACCACCGGTTTCACACTTACCACAATGCTATCTCCTGTTATGGAATTAAAGGGACAGACACACACACACGCATGTGCATAGTCCCACATAAAGAATTATTTAATTCTATATTCTGTATTTTGTACGCGCACTGATCAATCCACAAAACAGTAATTATTTTGTTTATTTAAAAAAATTTATTTTAAATATTAGAGGATACAGCTGATTCAAGTGAGTATAACCATGTTACAATACAGCCAATAATAGTATGAATAGCCAAGGATGGTTACATTTTAAACATTACTCAAAATTCACTGATTCATCATCACTTAATCATTCCTTGAACACTGTGAAATGCAGTATTCTTCAATGTTTATCATGGTTTTTCTCCTTCATCTTAATTCCTTTGCTGTTTATTCTGAATAGATCCTAAAATGTATCTTCCATGAATATACCAATGCCCCTCTCATCAAGATATGCAAATTAAGTGCTGTGTACTTTTGCACATGACCTAATTATATGCTCTAAATAATGTTAAACCTTTCAAATCCAAAATAAAGAGTGAAATCATCCTTGAAACTACTTAGAACATTGCTTTTGTACTAAACACTATCCCTTTGATAATTTTTTCTTTGGATTGACCCATTTTTTAATTTATAACAATACAATGCACCAATAAATTCATATCAACTACAACCTAAAACTTCCACGATTGTTTTCCCAACACAATACAGTATCAACATCACAATCTATAATCACATAGCCTACTACACCTACTGCCAGAGTGTTCAGGATTAAGCTTGTGCAGTACAATGGAAACAGGAGAAACATGATTGGGATGTGCATGTGTTCCTAGCCCTGCACTTATTTGGCATTTGTTAAGTGTGACTGACATTCTAGAAAAGTCTACTTGAGACCACCTCAGTCACTAGTTGTATGATAATAGAATAAAACCTGTCTCTTATACACATCTAGATGTGTATAAGAGACAGTTTCAATTCTGTATCTTAAATACAGTAATGTCCAGATTATCAAATTTTATTTGACAAAAACATGTGACATGCATAAATATGGTTGTGCTGACATCACAGCATGACCATATGTAGGCACTTCATGACTATATATGGGCATACAACAGTCTATCAAAGAAAATGTTATAGTACTGTATGGACAGCGCTTTAAACCATTCCACTGAGAGATCACACACTTCGCTTCCATCACATCCCTGTCTTTTTTGTGCAATAGACTCGCTTTCACTTTACCTGTTCCACAGTAAATATTATAAAGCATTTAAATAGATCCCAGTCATTTGATTGGTTGATTTCGGACATGACATTAGTAATTTTGCCCATTCCATTGCTCACTGTTGAAATTTTGTTCCACCGTGCATTTGTTTTCCTATCCGAATCGTCCATTGCACATTGCCTATGGATACGAAATGACTTCAACCTAATACAATCTTTTGATTGGTAAAAAAGATGCAGGACTGACTTTTCTGGAGGGTTAAATCCATGAAATGATGTCACGCCACCTATAACCTTTCTCAGGCCTATTCCTTGCTGAATTTGTCTTGCCATGTGCAATGTAGCGGAGATTTCGTTTACTGTAAACAGTACTGTAATGTATTTTAATTGTGAGGATGATACCTCAAAAACTAGCTCAAACTTCCGCAAAATTAGTGCGGAATTCAGTTCTTATTTTCCGAAATGTGCTAACAGGTTTCTAGCCTAGCCCTAGGTTTTGCACAGAGGATAGGCCTAAGCCAGGCTAGGCTAGTGTCGCCTCAATTATCTTTATCATTCCATTGAGTCATCAAGGATTTGCTTCAGCCATAAATGTCCAAAGATTAACTTTATGTCAACGGAAGATTACTATAAAGATAGTGGTAAATTAAACAGCATATTAGTATGCTGCCTACTGCTTCTTCATCCTCTTTCCTTTTCTCTTACACAAAATTATACCAAAATGGAATAGTGGATGGATAGTGGAAGAATAACCCACGAAAGACTTATTTCCAGTGGGGTCATTCTGGTGGTGAATTTGGCAGTACACCGGGAGACAATCCCCTACTCATGTGCAAATAATAATAATAATAATAATAATAATAATTCTGGATTTATATAGCGCCTCTCGTTGACACAACCTCGAAGCGCTTGAACAATATTACCCCCGGATCACTGGATCAAGCACATATGGAACACACTGCGTTCTTTAATGTGCACATGCGCCGCAATGCACACCGGACCAAAGGGCTTGAACGTCCCATTCTGAAAGACGGTACGCTAGCGCAATTTGCATTTCAGTCCTCCGGCTGAAACACAAGAAGAGCAGCGATGGGAATTGAACCCAGATATTTCCATGATTCAGCACACAAACAGCGGCTACCACCAGTTTAGCCGACTGAGCTAAGCTGCTCTCTTGGTGCTGTATTATAATAGTTAATTGCCTTTCAATCACCTTTTCAAATCCTGACAAACCAATAGTGGTTCTGACAAAAAACCTACTGATACCCAAGCCTCATATTTTATATTGATATTTTTTTTTTCTCAATTTCCTAGTAAACATTGCCATCATACAAAACAAGCAAATTACAAATTTTTTTTTTTCTAAATAACCTGTATCAAAATTAACAACATCATGAATATTATAATAAATGTATCAATGGAAGTTTCTACTAAGCTCCACCCCTTAGATATTGCTTCAAAACTTCCACGATTGTTTTCCCAACACAATACAGTATCAACATCACAATCTATAATCACATAGCCTACTACACCTACTGCCAGAGTGTTCAGGATTAAGCTTGTGCAGTACAATGGAAACAGGAGAAACATGATTGGGATGTGCATGTGTTCCTAGCCCTGCACTTATTTGGCATTTGTTAAGTGTGACTGACATTCTAGAAAAGTCTACTTGAGACCACCTCAGTCACTAGTTGTATGATAATAGAATAAAACATAACAAAAATAACATAAGAATAATTACCTGGTTCTCATGATGGAAGACTGTAAAATACCCAACGATTAGCATAACTTCATGAAGGAGATCACTGTAGTTCTGATAGTGACTACAATACCAGATTAAATATGTTGCAATATGTCGAAATTCCAATGAGATTCCTTCCTCTCCTAAGGCACTCTGTGATGACAGAAAAACAAAACAATACCTTATTTTGTTGTCAATGTTTAATGGTTGTCCAAATATAGCACTATAGCTTGGTATCAGAACTAGAGTGTGCCTAAGGGTCTATGAAAGCTAGAGCCCACCCCCCACCCAAAAAGAGAAAAAAGAAGGGAGAGGAGTGTGAAAAACAAATGGTATTTAAAGCGCTGCATATACATCTGTAAAGTTATAATTTGTGTACTTGTATTGATTACATTTTTATAGGCAACTATGCCACACCCCATTTTGATGTTTCGCATGTCGCATAGCCCCTACCCAGGTGCTTCCTGTAAACTTGCTGTATTGACATAGGCAACAATTCAACATCATAAAATATATATGCGCTAACACATGATAAGAACTAAGAGAACTGTAGATTACGTGACAAGTGTAAAACGCCATTTGTATTATCTCTAATTTGTATACAACACTGCCCCGACTTGGCAACAGGCCCTCATGTAGGCAGAACAGGTCTCATTCCCAGGAGAACACTGAATATGTACTTAAATACTTACCTGTAGTATAGTAAGATCTAACAGTGCAATGTTACTCAGCATGCGTATACCGGCATTCACAACACTCAAGGTGTGCTCAGGTAGTTCAGGTGGGATGACTGCATCCCCACGTGAGGGTGAACCACCATGAAGAAGAACTCCATACAGCAAGGACACAATACCTCCAAGTCCAGTGGCTTGGAATGTAACAATTAGCTGAGTAGAGTCTTCATGTTTGCTAGCGAATACATCATTCGACCTGCGACAATGACAAATATGATAATCAACACATCATAACTAAATCCTACAAAAAACTGATTTTAGGTATGAACACCAAATAAGTTGGAAGCATATATGGTAATGATAAGCCAAACCATTCACTCGTCGCAAATCCTGTTTCAGAGATGATGGCCAAAACATGCTGAAATATCAAAATTTTTGAAATCTATTTTATTACACTAAACTAACATTTATATATCTATAAAATTATAATCATGCCATGCTGTTATTTTCCCTACTTTCAATGTTAAAAATACAATTTTTAACGATTTGGTGATGCCCAAAATAAAAAATTTTTAAGGCTGATTTCTCAAATAATGTTTGTTTGTTGCTGTAGGTTTAAACTCCTGCAACTTCATAATGAAATGTCGGATTTAAATGATTCTTTTGCCATTTTATAGCTCTCACTTTTCTGTTTAACCTTGTATTAAAACCTAAAAATCAATTTTTGTGACAAGTGACTGGTTTGGCTTGTCTTTGCCACATATTTTGCAGCAGTAAAGCAATAGGTTTACATTAAATTATTTATTTTATTAATGTTTTTTTTTTTGTATTTTAAATGTATGCCAAATGGATTTCAACTTTTCAACATGTTTTAATGACTATAAAGTTTCTTATCTTAAAAAGAACAGGGGTTTAAGTCTAAGGCAGATCAGTTTATCCATGTTTCCCCCTGCCCACAAGATTTAGTGTATACCTGCACAAGTACATAACTGAAGTTGATACAAAAAATTACTACAACAAATTTATAGAGGAATAGATGTATAGAAGTTTTCTATAGCAAAATTTACAACAAGGTGTTTTCAAAGACATTACATCTTTAAAAGGGAACTACAAAGATGATTTTTTTAGAGGGGATTTCTGATATGTCACTACTAATAGAATCAATTTTAAAATTGTTTTTCGCAATTGTATATGAAGTTATAGGCCATTACGATTTTGCCCCTTTAGTAGTGTGACGTCAGTGTAAGCTACTGTAACCAAAGATTGTATAGCGCTGCGTAATTCGTAATGGCCTGTAACTTCATAAAAAAATTGCCAAAAAACGATTTTAAAGTTGATTCTATTACTAATGACATATCAAAATCTCCTCTAAAGAAAAAAAATCATCTTGCTAGTTCCTTTTTAAACCCCGAAGCTACAGCCCTGCAACGTTTATATTCCGGCTACATACTTTGACGATGTGACGGTGACAAATTTGGTAACTGCAGCAAGTAGAGCGAGCCCATGCTGAAGGAAATCAGCACTCTTCTCTTCTTCGTCAATGGTGCCTCGAATACCATTAAAATATGTAGTTAGCTTATCAACAACACCGCTACACACAAAGTAACTGAAAACAATATATTAATTTATTAAATCAAACATTACATCAGAAATATCTTTATTTACTTTAAAAAACATGTTAAGGCCTTTTTATTTTCCAAAGCTTGAATTGTAGATTCTTTCTTATCTTTTTGTGTTCTTGAAAGAATCATTTTTTTTTTGTCTATTTTTCTGTTGATTTTTTAAGTTTTATATGTTAGAGGACTCCCCTGAAAATCAGCCATGCTGAGCAGAACATCCTGGTAAAAAATAAACAAAAAATTAAAATTATTTAAAGAAAAAAAAAATCACCACCTCAAACATTTAAGTATCTTTCTTTCATACCTGATAACATCTTGGCCCCATTGTTGGAAAGTGTCTGCTTTTTTCTTCTGAGCTTCACCACGTTTCTCACTTGTTGAGGAACTTGTAGCAGTTGGTCCATTTTTGGACAGGCACAAAAATACTGTGGATAGCACCTGCATGAGGTGGCTTGCTACAGGATCAGAGGGAGGCTTCCAATTGTCGGAACTGCCACTGGTGTTAAGTGGTGAAACCTCATCATCTGGTATGATGCTCTATAATGATAATAACAATAACAATATAATAATAATAATAATAATAATAATAATAATAATAATAATAATAATAATAATAATAGCAACAGGACCTCTGTGAGAACTAATCTTTTGTGTTTATTGGCCTACAAAAAAGGAACAAACGTCATTCCTAGTAAATTACTATAAATGAAAAATTCTGAAACAATGAAAGCACAGACTGTCAGTAGTTGGCTTGTTTAAATTCTCACTATAACACACACACACCCACCCACACACTTGCTCGAACATTCATATAGAAAAATATTGTCAAGGTTGATCGGTGTATTCTATTTAAAATAAGAATAGCAATTTAATCATTTAAAATGTAGTGCAAGTTCATGTTTTAATTTTTTGCACCTATTGTAAGGAGTAAGAGCAGTTTTCTGCTTTGGTTTATACCTGTTCCTTGCTCCTGGCAAGACTGTACTTTACTTTGCCAAATAAATATTATTATTTTATAAATGAAAATTATTAGACAAATTATAGAGGGCGGTAAAATATATCTGTTGAAAAAATATATCACTAAAAATATGAGGTAGCAATTTCAATTTTAAAAAGCCACTTACTATCAATTGGTGCATTAGACTGTCAATTAGTGGTCCTAATTTGTTGCTATAGAGACAGTACTGACAATTCTCATAACATCCTTTGATTGCTAATTTCAGTACATTGGTTGCATTGCATAAAGTCCTGTAAAATTGCAAGTAAATTGGTTAAAAGCAAAATCAACTCTTTTGACTACTCTAACCTCCTTATATCAAGGCCATTTATGTTCATAGCATTGTAAATTAATTTTATTCAGTTATTATTATTAGTATTATTATTACTGCATATCTGCATAAAACTAATTCATTTAAGAGTACATTTCTATGTAATAGTACAGATTATGGCCACTAATATTAGTAAGGATTTGTACCTTTATTATTAGTTTTATTACTGAGGGCAGCCTAGCAGTCATTTGAAACCAGCGGTGACTACTGTGTATGTAATGAACTTTTTCTCCTACTCTTACTGAATATACGGGGTCAAGGAAAGTGCATTCACATCCCGGCCCTGTTTTTACCAATCCTTTCACCACCATACACGAAAATCGTATTGTCAAATTTTTTAGAACTAAATTGACAAGGCTCCACAGAGTATCAGCTTGTGACCGTTTCAAAATATTTCTAGGAAAAAAAAACATTCCTCAATTTTTAACACTTTAGCAAAAGTCACTCATATGTATCAATTGTACTTACTGGCATATTGCACAGGGTACAGACTTTCTTCTTATCATACGGCTTCTGCTGCGGAGCAAGATCTGTCGTTCGGTAATGTCTAAGCATGCTCAATTCAACTGCTTTTTCACGTTTTTGTTCAAGATGTTCAGTGTGGCGACGAGTGCTCCCATCTTGCTGTTTTGGACAAAAATTGGGAATTGTAATATGTTTATATTAAATATGTAGGCCAAAATAATCCAATGGTGTTAACTTAAACCAAAACAATTTTATATCCAATATCTTAACAAACCTTTTGTTGCTGTCTCTTATTCACATCTAGATGTGTATAAGAGACAGCACCATCAACATCATCCTTATCACCACTATTATCACAATCAACATCATCATCCTCATGATCATCACCACCACCATGATCGCCATCAGCATCACTACCATAACCATCACAAGGACCACGCAAGTATCCAATGTCTAAAACTCATCTTTTTTATCCATGTTCTCACCACATCACCATTTAAAAAACCTAGAATACTTACTTAGCACGGCATTCAGAAGAGCCACCAGCTTGTGACTTGGTGGGCAAGTTGGTCTCGTACTCCTTTCCTCTTGAACTCATACGCTGACGAAGCTTCCTTGCCCGTTTCCTCAATCCCTTCTGACGTTCCTTCTCTGCAATCTGCTTAGCATCAGGCTCGTCTGAAGGTGCTTGTACAATGTATTTAAGTGAATAACTCTCCTAGATTCAAAAAATAAAACCGGAGGACATTTACGGAATGAATTCTATAGTAGCAGCTTGAAAAAATTACTAAACTGTTTGTCGTCAGCTAATGTGTGTGCACTAACACTAGGGTCTCTGGGTAAACACTTGCTTGTGTCAAAGTTTAGAGAACAGAAACAATAGTTGCCTTCTTTTTGAGGAAAAATATTGGTAACAATTATGTAAAACACTCAACAGAAGAGTAGGGATTGTCTCTGGCTATAGCAACTAACAAGCCAGAGGAAACTTTGAGTTTTGCTTTTTATGATTAAGATGCAACTATTTCAAATTTTAAAAACTAGTTAGATACAATAAATACAAAAGAGTATAACAGGGTATAGCTGGATATATAAAAAGCAATTGTGTGTCATGTCATAGCTGGATATATATAAAAAACAATCAAATTTCATGTTATACATATTCCCATTGAGTCTAAAATCAAAGCATGAGTCATATTTTATATATATATTTTACCCGGTCTTCTTCAGATAGCTGTAGATCTGCATGCTTTTCATTGAATGCCAGTGCATGTTTTCTTCCCTTCAAGTGACTCAACAGATAAACTTCTGAAGGAATCTATTAGAAAAATCAACATACAAATTTGAGTTTCATTATATTTACTCAAGGTATATTATTTAATGAAATCACTAATGATAATATTAACAATTATAATAATGCTGGTTCAATATATTGCAAAGTACAAATTAAACTTCAAGATCCCCAAACCGTTTCAAAATATTTCTAGGAAAAAAAAACATTCCTCAATTTTTAACACTTTAGCAAAAGTCACTCATATGTATCAATTGTACTTACTGGCATATTGCACAGGGTACAGACTTTCTTCTTATCATACGGCTTCTGCTGCGGAGCAAGATCTGTCGTTCGGTAATGTCTAAGCATGCTCAATTCAACTGCTTTTTCACGTTTTTGTTCAAGATGTTCAGTGTGGCGACGAGTGCTCCCATCTTGCTGTTTTGGACAAAAATTGGGAATTGTAATATGTTTATATTAAATATGTAGGCCAAAATAATCCAATGGTGTTAACTTAAACCAAAACAATTTTATATCCAATATCTTAACAAACCTTTTGTTGTATTTTCTTTTGTATTTCCTCTTCCTTGGCTAGCTGAGCAGCAGTGAGGGCAGACAGCCTCTGAACTCTGTCCCTAGAAAGGGGAAAAAAAAAACAAAGCAACCTACCAATCAATCAATCAATCAATAAAATCAATCACTTTTACAGATTCTTTATGAGAAGTAAAAGAAAATGCAACAATATGTCAGCAATACATTATTATTATATATTACAGGTATATTGTAAGCAAGTAATATTGTTCAAATTCAAATGTACCAGAATTTAGTGCAATTTTAAAATGTTTCACTTTTCTAATTTTTATCTTCACTTTTTAAACTTGTTTGTTGTTTGTCAATGCTGTTTCTGCCTGAGATCCCATTAAAATTGAGCTAACATTTGCTATCTTTATGGCTCTTCCTGGTTCTTCATTCACTCTAGGGTGTTTTTAGGGTTTTACTGTTTTTCTAATCATTTGCCTTTTACTTTGCGCAGCCATTTCTGTATAGTTGTTTTCGTATTTTGGAGTACCTAATAATTTCAATTCAATTCAACCAAAAATTTAGATTTAGATTACATTTATTCACTTCACAAACAAATGTGTAATTGTTTTCTGTCTTTCTTTATTTGTATTTGGAAAAATGGTATAAAAATTACAAATCTTGCTTAGATTTGTAAAAACAACTTAGTAGACCTTATGGGTTGGTAACAGCAGGATGACTGAAGTCTGACAAATACCTTGCTTTCTCTTTGGCAGCAGCTTCTCTTGCCCTGTCTCTTGCATCTCTAATCTGGTATATCTTCTCTTCCTGAATCTTCCTCTGTTTTTGCATAGCCTCTAACCTGGCTTGTCGTTCCTCCTCAAGCTGTCTCCGCCTCTCGTGTGCAGCCTCTTCTTTAGCTTGTTTTTCCTCCGTCTTCCGCTGGCGTTCATCAATGAGGTCCTGGAGTCGGGCCTCGATGCCCTGATGTCTGGAGAGTATGTCAATCTTTTTGTTTTGAGCTTCTAAAGAATTTATAAATGCAATTTCATTTGCCTAGAAATAAAATAAAAATTAATTATTAATTGATATAAATTTAATTTAATTTAATATAAAATTTAATGACAGAATTCTACTCAAATAAAACTAGTAAATATGATACAAATACAACGTGATACAACAAATTAACATTTGAGGTAAATATGTGACTTAAAAGGGAGGTGGTTGGCGCAGCGGTTGCTGCTCAGGTTTTTCAACCTCGTGGTTGGGAGCTCCACGCTGTCCACTTCCAGCCAGGCTTAGATACCTCAGCTTGCATTGTGGATGGCTGTAAAAAAAATGGTTCACACTGTTCCAGCCTTAGATGCAAGTCGGCTACGACCACTGGCATCGTTTCGGGCATATAAGATCAGGCCACTCTTTTCAGGGCCTTGCTATATGGCTTAACCTTTGTCCTGCATCCTCTAATAAAAAAAAAAGTCAATCCTTTTATACCACGGCATATTTTAATTTAATTTGTGTCTTGTGACAACCATAGTATAGTCGGCGATCCAATTTTGGGTTGCGACTCGTACTTTGAGAACCACTGCTATAAACTAAGTAGGAGCATGCAACCATATTCTTGCATTTATTCAAATTTTGTTTTTTACCTTTATATCTTCGGTTCTAGCTTTCTTTACAATGGCTTGGAGTTGTACTTGACGTTTTTCCTCTGCTCTCTTCAACTTTTCATCCATCTCTTTCTTGCGTTGTTGAATCAGGACTTCCTTCCATTCTTGTACCTCAGCAATCTAGCATAAAGAGAGAAAAAAAACGCTACACAAAATGACTTTTTTTTTTTATTCAAAATAAATGAACAATGTTTTAAAAAGAGCTTGGTCAATGGGACCATATATAAAAAAATATCACTATTTAAATTATTTCCACCATGTACTGTAGTAAATTTCCAATTACAGCATAGAAACAGGCAATGCATATCTCCATAAACTGAGATTCACTTATGAAATACAACAATGAAAATCTTTACAAGCTTGACTGCCTAAGCTACCTTATACCCATTCTTTATTCCTTCTAGATTTCAGCAATTTCAGCTGCAATTTTAGAATCAATTCTATTATCAGCAGACAGGGAATGGAAGATTGTTGGGTTGTCAAATTAACAACAAATTTGTATTTAAACCGAAGTTTCTATATTAACAGTTGTTACATTTATTATCATTAAATTCTATATTTACAACATAATATCTTTATTCCAATTATTGTTTTATTTTGTAAAGAGTGTGAATAACTTTTTTTATAAAAGTCTACATGCATGCCTCATAATATTACAAATATTATATTTGTATGCAAATGTATTCTAATACTATAAATGGAAATACTGACCCGCTCATGAAGACTACGCAGTTTCTGGCCCTTCTCTTCAAGCAAAATCTCTCGTTTCTTCTTCGCCTGTGCTTGTCTTTCTTCATGAATCTTCCGACTCTCCGCTCGTGTCCTAAAATAAGGAGATATGCATAGTCATCTAGAAATTACCTGCTGCAGTTATTTCCACTTCCAGGGACCTGGGTGCAAATCCTTCCAAGTGACAGAATACAGGCTCATGACCAAAAACTTATCTACACCTTTAGTAATTTCAAAAATATTTTAAGTGGCCCTCAGTATAAACTATATTATGCCTACCATTTTCCCTAACTATGTATTGGCGTCATAACTTACTTTTTTCTTGAGGGTGATGAGAGTTTCTCATGCATAAGTAGAGCATGTCCAGGCGGTCTAGCTTCCAGGTTATCATCAAGGTCAACCATGTCACCCCATGACATGCCCTGCTGACTCCTCTTCTCTTCGAACTCTGCGCATAGATCATTCCAGTCCATGGTACGCTGAGAGGATTCTAGGGAGCTCATGGTGTTCTGTGTGACAAAATGCAGGGTGAAATATAATTCCAACAATTCAAATTGTTTTTGCTTGTCGTATAAAAGAAAAAAATCCACATGGAACTATAATTGAAACATGGGCTTACCACTAGGGACAAGGCTACCTTGAATTTTGATGCTACCTTTCAATGTAATTTCATACTTGATTGATTTTACTTTCAGATTTTCAAGACACATAGTGTACAATTTCTGCTCCAACCCTCTGCAATTCGTGGGGTAGGCGTATATCTGATATAGGCTTACACCCAAGGAACTACGATATATTCATTACAGCTGAGGAAGAGCATGTCCATAGGAACTTGATTGAGGACCACTGAAATCCCATTTCAAATATACTACTCAAGGAATATATTAAAACAAATACAATAAAAAAAAAATGTATGAAACTATTTAAATTAAAGCATGTGATGTAAAAGTAAGGCTTTGGGCTTTCAACAGAAGTCAACGTTTATGTCTGAGGCTGACATGACCTTGTGGAAAGCACTTTATCTGGATTGCTTCTCTAAAATTATTGACGTTTGTTAGGGAGACGGTTCGCATGTGGAGCCTTGGGTCGGACTGTTCCATTTTTTTCGAAGGGGTGTTCCGTTTTGGGAACAATGGCAATTAGTCAGTTATCCAGGTAAGTATTCACGAAATAGACCTATTGATTAGATTAATAGTAAGATGGTAAAGTGTGCAGATTCTGGAATCACAACTGAACTGCTGTACCAGGGAGTGGAAATGCCACATGTGAATGATTGTTTAGGAATCTAGTTTGAGGCTTCTTGCATTGGTTAGTAGAAAAGGTATTAACATTACAAAAAAATATATAAATCAAGATTTCTTTCTGAATATTGATTAAATTTAAAGATCAAAGCAGCCTTACCCCAAGATCACTGTCACCTTCATCTGTCTCCACAACTTCGATCTCCTTATTCTCCTCTTCTTCAAGTTCTTTTGTCAGGTTCTCTTCCTCTGCAATTGCTGATGCCAACGCCTCTTCTTGATACTTCTCCAGTTCGCTGGTGAGTGTCTCTTCTTCGTTTAATGCTGCAATTACTGCCTGTAAACACAGAATAAACAAATGTTTAGATTACACTGGAGCTGCATAAAATTCAGTAACTATGTATTTTATTTGATTATTTGTATTGTCAACATATTTCCTTCTAAAATTTTAAGTTAATAAATTATTGGTCTATAAAAAAAATGTTTTGATAAATTTAAATTTGTCATACAAAGTGATTATATACAGATTAGTAAAACACAGTCTCATATTAAATATTTTTTATTTGTATGAAACTGACAATGAAATGCTGAGACTACAAGTAGCCTATCAACAAACCTCATCTAAATTTGGAACTAGCTCTGTTTCCTTCTCATTTTCCTCAATTTCAGTTTTAACTTCTGTAGTACTGGTGACTATATTTAAAAAAGGAAAGAAAGAAGAAATCAGTTTTAATACAAGCATAAAATACAATGTCTACAAATACTATTAGTGTGGTAGGCAACAGAAGATCCAGCACAGGCCACAATTTGCTTCCCCTTGCCTCCATCCCCTCCCCCAGAGAAGGCACAAACATGCAGTATATTTTTAAATATGTTGGAACTTCAAAGCGTAGTATCTGTTGAAGAGAGGATGCAAAATTCAGATGAAATAAGATAGGACATACCTTCAAGAATGGCAGGGTCTTGCTCTCTGATGTCAACTTCCTTCTTCTGGATGTTAGAAGACTCTACCGGATGATTTTCTTTCTCACTGTCAGTACGACTCTCTCTAACTTCTGTGTTGTTTTTTTCTACATCCGTAATAACAACTGGTATTTTCTCTTGTGTGACTTTTGGAGTTGCATTGCTGTGTATTTGTTTACCATGATTGGCAGGCGAGTTGGAAGAGGAGGAGTTGCGGGATTTGTTCTGTTTTCCTTGCTTGCCTCGTTGCACAGTTTCCCAGCCTTCAGTATCATCTATTAGCATAAACATAATTCAGAAAGTATTAAAATAAGTAAAATATTGATTAAAAAATTAAAGGTGGTGAAGACATGAAATCATGAACAAATATTTTATACAACTGGAATGTTATCATTTACGGTAATTAAACTTAGTAGAGTGGAAGCACTCTGTGTAATGTTGTTGTTAATACTAATAGAATATTAGAAGTAAAGTAGATGTGCTTTGAAAAAATGAAAATCTTTGTACACTTGACAATAAAGTCAAAAGCACATTCTGATGAGGAGGTAAATTAGGAAAAAATTTATATTTCATGCTGATTAGGCATCATGCTAATATTAAAAGTACATAAATATGCCATATCATCTAACTGAAAAAATATTTATTTATTATAAAAAAAATTACCTTCATTGATTTCCTCTAACACAGCATTCTTTGTTTTAGTTTCAACCTCAGCCTGTTGCGGGAGTTTAGGCTGTAGTGCTGCTTTAGGTACCGGTTTGGTTGTACGGCCTTTTACTTTATCAGCCCAACTTGAACCAGTTTCAACAAATGGTACTGGGCTACTACGCCAAATGAAAAGGTGTATATTAACATTTGGAATTCTTTACTGAGAAATATTGCATTCATATAATATGTAGAGGATCTGCAGCTCGATGGGTATCAAAAACATTTAAAAGTACATTGAATTGATATCAGAACTTACCCTGATTTTCCCTGGTTGTTGAAGCTGAGAATTCTGTTGACAGGACTTGGGGTACTACGGTAGCTATCAGGAGTTGGGCTGGTGCCAAGGGCCTTGCCAGGTGATGTCTTCCGTACCTCCCAAGCAAGTGAGGTAGGCCTAGAATAGGAGGCAACATGCAAACATACATAATCATGATTATTATTTTACAAAATTTATTCTTTGATATACCTTGTTAACTGTATGTTTATTTTATTATATTATTCTTTAAATATACTATCAAACTTTTAAAACATTGTTGAAATAATACTTTACTAAAACAGTATTGTGTTTTATTGTGATTATTTTAAGTAGATATATCTATTATTACATAACATGCTATTCTGACTCTCCGAAGCAAAACAAAAATGTTGTGCAATTCAATGATTAATGTGTTCTCAGTGAATGTGGCTGTGGAGGTATGATTAATTTTACATGCTTGTGTAAGTGTAAGTCATTAGATTTTTCCAAAGCTTTCTCCTAATTGTATGCACACATTACTAAAACATTATGAACAAAGCTTATCATGATGCCAACAAGTTAAGTGTAAATTAATTTGGTATGTGTTAAGTTTAACAGCAAAAGTTGTTCAAAACAAAAACAGGTATGTAAGCAAACAGCAATACATTATATTATAAAATTGTTAGTTTAACATAAAAGCAACATTAAAAAAAACATGGAAAACATTTCACATGATTATTATATTAATTTTATTCTGGTATGATTTCCTTTTTGGTCCTGAGATGAAAAAAAAACCAGTTTCATAAAAAATAATAATAATTTACATATATAATACAAAAAACATAATGCTGTGGCTACTATATACATAAATTACAATTTTTATACTAGATTTTAAAAGGCCAAGTAGAGGTAATGTAAAGGATATAAAACATTAATAAAAAGGATATGAATGCTATTGTTACATCTATGAGAGGCAAGTATTTCACAAATAATAGAATGTAAAAGATTTTAACTATAGGATAAAGCAGCATGCTAGCGATGATGTTCTGAATCTGTACGGTCGGTAATAAAGAAATACGAACCGCTGTCTACGAGGAGGTGTGCGAGCATCGCCAGGCCAACTTGGTGCACGATGCTTTGCTGGTGAAGATGACATCTTGCGTACCTCCCACACCAAAGAGGTAGGCCTATGGTTTTGGCAGGAGTAGTATGAGAGAAAACACAAAAACACACACACGCATGAGATATACATGGAAGAGAATAATACCATTACCATATGAACACAGTCATTGAGAATATTATCCATCCATATATGGAAGAGGACACCATTACCATATAAACAGAGCATTGAGAATATTATCCATCCATATATAGAAGAAAATAATACTATTACCATAAGATCACAGTAATTGAGAATATTATCCATCCATATATGGAAGAAAAGGACACCATTACCATTATAAAAGTATAATTTTGAGTATATTATCCATACACATTTGGAAGAAAAGTAAAACTGTATGGTATAAAAAATTACATTGAAAATATGTCAGTATAAATCAAGATATTTAATGTATATTTTATGAGATTTTATTTAATAGGATCATACTCTTTTCTAAAAAAAAAAAAGGTGAAGGAACCAAATTATTTGACATCCATTTAAAATTAATTTAATTTAACAGCAAATCATTATCATTATATAATTATTTTGATGAAAGTTAAAAATAAGGACAAATGATATTACATTCATATTGATATAATAATAATACACAGATTTATATGTATTTACACGTAAAGTTTTTGTCATAGGCTACAGTATGCATGCACTTGCACATTAAATCCAGCAAACATTGGGACCCCGAATGTCGGCCAACGAGCCCATCTTTTATTTTAGCGAGCGCTTACTATACAACGCCGTCTGCTGATCGTCACTGGCAGTCTGAGAGTTTCGTTATTGAAAGGATCAATTGCATGCATTATGTCACAATACATTTATGAAATCTTGTTGCCCAGCAACCATCTGCGCAAGTATGTGCACAAATTATGATGAGGTGATGTCAGTAATTTAAGATGATGGGATTAGAGAATAATCTGATGAGTGATGGATAATTTACAGATTAGTGAATGAGCAATAATGTTGGATCAAGAAGATAAAATCTTATTTCTAAACAGGTAACGAAAATTAAAATGAATCTGAGGTTATGTATTTCCTGAATTAAACAGTAGCATTTTAAGTAATCCATTTGCAAAGGATTAATGTGAGATTTGGATTAATGTACAGGGATAAGAACAGGTTTGCATTACATTTACATAAATAAATGTTTCCCAATGACCAGGGTAGTGAATGTGAAGGGATTAACATATTGACTCCAAAGTATCAACTTAATCATATTCACAGGGTGTAAGTATTAGGGGACCACTTAAATGTTGTAGACGACATAAAACTTTTGAAATTGTAAATAAAATATGTTGGTATCCTAATTAGAGGCAAAATGTACTAAGCTACAGTAGCAGCATAGGATCTATTACCATTGCAGTGACACATAAAGGTGTATTATTTACTATTATTGCATATGTTTACCCAAATTATATTAGCAATTATATTAAAGTAACATGATGCTTAATAAATTATTAGTGTTCACTTCAACAGTCTCTAAAACACTTCGTGCAATTGCCAGAAATAAGCCATCTTGTAGTTTCTCTTGCACAGTAATATGTCAAAGGTCAAGGCATATAAACAAGACATCTAATATATTACAAAAATGCATGTTTGCGAAGAAAAATATTATACATTAATTCGATGTGCCGGCATAATGCCTTGAATGCAGAGATAAAAGAGTTGCTGTTGTATTCCTTGAACTTTGACAGACATGTACAATTAGAATTACAAGAGGACTTTTTATATGTTAGATGGATGTTGATCAAAGTCCTCAAATAATGCTGATGTCATGTTTTGCACACATTCCAATAATGATAGCATGAATATCCCTGGATCTTTATATTTTCAATAAAGATAATGGATAATAATAATGAGTTCAACATCAGTTTGTACAAGATAAACTATTATAGTCATCAATATCTTTGTTACTCTTCAAAACTGTCAAAACTAATGTTGGATTTTGTTAAATATTAGGGATTACTATGAGGATTAGTTAGAACCAAATTAATCCTTAGATTAGGTATCAAGATTATTAAAGGTAGTAATATATGATCCTACTTTTTATCTTTATCTGCATTCTCGAAGGCTGTCTGTACATTAATCCGCTTGATCAGGGCTTCAAAATCTCTTGTAGCACTCTTCAGTATCATTATAACTTCCTACAATAACGAACGAAACCAAAAATAATAAGTAAAATATGACAAACAAAACAACAAAGAGAACTAGTTTTGCTGAAAGCATAATTCATATTTTGTAAAGGGTAGGTCTAAACCAAATATGAGAACATACTTGTTATATCACACAACCAATCATAACAGCCAATCACAGGTATTTAGAGGTCAGGATCGTTATATATTTATCAGGTAAGAGTGAATGAGAACTTACATTATAATTACCACATAAGAGGTCAAACCCACCCCCTTAAAATTTCCATAATTATTGTCAACAATTTGTATTTCAGGTTTTCTATTAATAATAGTTCAAACATGCTAACCAAATTTAGTTTTGCTATCATATCTCCCTTCCTAAACTCCCAGCGTTACTATCTACCCACAATCCCATGTTTTTATCCCCTTACCTTACATTCCACAATACTCTCATCTACTTCACATGTGTGGTATACTTCATCTACAGCCCTCTGTAGGTTATCAAACAGAAATGCCCAGTAGCGGGCACGAAGGTCAATTTTCTTAGTTTTCTTTTCTGTTTTCTCTAGGCTGCGTCCCTCTGTACTTGAGCTACGTTTCTCCTCGGTGGAGCTGTCCCGAGGGCTTTTTCTTGCCTTGAGGATTGATGTTCTGGCCTTCAGCTTCCTACGTGGAGCTGTCTTGGCTATTTAGTTTAAGAAAAAGGGAAACATAGTATGAAAATGGATACTAAAATATATGTATCATAATGTATAATCTACACTATTGTATCGCAGTTATTTATAAAAAAAAAAAAATATGAAGGCAAAATTGACACGGATGACATTAATGATTACTCTAATGATGTCAGTGATGTCCTACACATATAATTAAGATGATGCTTATGATAATAATATAATAAAATAGTAATATTCACAATAATGTTGTTATAAGTTATGATGTAATGATGGTAATAGTGAACATGACAATAATGGTGGATGGTAAGTTAATGTGACATGAATGATAAATATTTTATGGTGCCAAACATAGTCATCAATAACATGGATACGGCCATAAAGATACATACTAGGATGTGGTATTATTACCATGGCAATGGAATGTTTAATTTTTGAATTACTGATCATGTTTATACTTAGCTAATTTTATGAATATACTGTGGTCAGAGTGTAGAGTTCATTAAACACACTCTACATTATATGCAATATTTATATTCTGTCAATCCATAGTTTATGTTTATATTTGTGTTTATTAATTTTATGAATATATTGATTTTGTTTAGAGTGTGATGTTTACAGGCTATTTGTTAAGAGAATTTTTTAGGTGATCATCAGCCTTTGTATACTGTATCTGCATACAGTACCTGCCAACATTCAAATATCAAAAATAGAGACGCTATTCATTGGTGCCACGCCTAGCACCATGTAAGACCAAGATATGGCCTAGGTAGCTAGGCGCTTAGGCCTACTAAACTACAATTAGGTGTTCTCTCTGCTCTTACTTTGATGCTCGAGTAAAGACTAATTCTTTGCCGGAATATTGTTTGTGATAGGCTATTGAATCATAGGGCAATTGTTGAAACGCATCTGCCACAATCGTCTTTTTCGTTCTGTTCATGCACTAGGGAATCCCCGGGTATAATTCCACCCCCGAAAATCGGGCCAATTTCGCGTTCATGGGAATGGGATTATACCCGGGGAAATACAAACTAATATTCCCTTCATCACACATTTTTTTTTAGAAATTCTAGAAATAGGGACGTCCTGATTTTTTTGTGTTTTTGACATCGGAAATCGGGACGATCCCGATTAAATCAGGATGGTTGGCAGGTATGTATCTGATTTGTACTGTGTGCTACTGTAACATAAGTGTAATTGTCATTGCCTGGAAATAAATACAATTTTTAAACATGAATACCAAATATTATAATAAAAGCAAATCCCCTACAGTACTGTATGTATCACATGTAAAATGCACTACCTATACATAAGTTGAAAAATTCTTACTTTACCTAATTGTGTAGTAAATATATTAAACAAAGCTAACCTCCTAGCATATAGAACATCACAAAATTAGGTGATACACCAATAGGTATTCTGTACTATATGAAGATGAAATAACAATTTGATTTAATGAAGTGGAACTGATTTGAATGTGGATTGCATCAGTGATTATAAAAGCATTTCAAAATCATGTGACTATTAACCTGCAGTATCGCTATCGTCACTATCCTCCACCGGCACGCTCCACTGGACGAGATTACGTGCATTGCGCCCTTCTTCTTTCACCAGGCGACGTACCTTGTCATAGCTTGTAGACCGCTGATATGCACTCTGCAAAAACACAAGAACAAAGGATATTTTTTTTTTTTAATTCTCAAATAAAAAAATATGAGATGAATGCTCTAGTTAAAATCTGAAATACCTGATTTATGAAACGCTAACCTTATGTAGTGGTGTACTAAAAGGGTGTCGTGGGAAAGCATGCCAACAAAAAGGTTGCACCCTTACTCCTCTTGAAAATTACACTAAAGCAGTTAAAAATCTCCTAATAATAATACAGTAGGGCCTACCAATTTTGCCAGCTAGTACCCCTAAATAAATCCTCTGTGTCTTAGATAAACCACTAAATGTAGGCTACTCCAAGACTGATATTTTACAGTACTGTATACTGTACATGTTATCCTGTATAACACATTATCACTGCCTCAAAGTGCTTCACATTGATCATAGGATCAAACACCTCTAAAAGCTCTCACTGGGAAGTGTTCATGTTTCAGCTATTAACATTATAGTACTAATCAAGACATTGTTAGTATGAGGTACCCATTTCTACTCCTTGGTGTTGGAAAACATTGCAGTTACTTAAAAGCAATACCAATTTTACTTAAATATAAATATTCTTCCAGAGAAATAGCTCAAACTCTATCATCATTACACAGGATTTTATTTCATCGCACCTATTTTTTAATGAAGAGAATTCATATTAACAAATATTGGTGTCATATTGTAATTAATTACACAATAATAGAAATTAACAACAACTCAAGTGGAAGCAATCAGTAAACATTGTGGTCAAGAGGAAAACTGATTAAAAAAATCAGCAACTAGCATGAGTACCAAAAGAAGTAGATGACTCTGGAATTAATGGAACAATCTGTGACAATAATCAATCAATAAACTAAAGCTCAGAATCTCATCCAAATATTGATGATGTGATATAAAATTATCATCTTTTAATGTCTCCATTAAAATGTCATCATCAAAAAAGAACTGTATTATCACTCTCTTGCTAGAATACCATACTACATTTCCCATTGAATAACCATTATTATGATTATATCCAAATCCATTCAATGTATGCAGTTAATATATTACAATTATTTACTATTTGTACTACAAACTTGCCATTATAATGTAATAAAGATCCCAATGGAAAAAAAACATCTTGCCCATAATATTGTTGTATTATTTTTGTTCAAATGTCAGATCTTTCAAAATCAAATGAAATACTTGGAAAATTATCCTATGTGATAGTAATATTGTTATATAATCAAAGTAAATTTATAATCTGAAGAATAAACATTTGAATACAAAGTGTCAAAATTAACAGCTAATGTACTAATGAAAAAAAACAAAGGGATGCTCAATCCACACATTTTAAAATTATTATAATTATAGTGTAGAGTGTATTTGTAAATTTTACCGTAACATTAATTGAGCATATAATTCATTTTTATTCTATTGTATAAAGTCTAAACTAATCAAGTAGAATCAATATAAATAAATGAATAATTAATAAATAATCATGAACATTAATTATTCTATTAAAAATATATCAAATCCATCAATTATTAACATTTCATATTAGACTGATAAAGAAAGTTGCAAGATCTACTGTACTATGGCAATTCATCCACCAGGTGCTCAGTGCATCCCATCAAATTACAAAGAAGCAAGAGTACAGTAGGCTACAAGGCTTGAGATCATCAACAACTAAGGCCAACCTAATGATCTGAACAATTCTTTTTATTGTACATTAGAACAGAAAAAACGCACAATACAAGTTTTTTTGGGCTTGATTAATTCTAGGCCTACCTTTCGTCTACGTCCTACTGAGGGCCCCATGCTCCTTTTTCTGTAGTTTCCGAAGAAGAATGAATTTCAAAGGAAGTGATCTCTGTCTCTCAGAAGCGGTCTAGGCAATTAATGAGTCTTACTCATCATCATCGGGCAACATCTGAATAGACTAGCAAGGTGTGACAGTCTGTCTACCATTGGGCAGGCTACACCGGATTAACCTTGGCCTTGCTAACAATCAGGGGTTAATCTGGTGTAATGGAGATTCCCTAAGCATGTAATTTGTGAAGCTATTTATAACAGTCTGCATCTAATTCGATGTTACCATTATGAGAGGAAATGGAAGACAATGTTATCATTTATCATGCATTGATAGAACAGGGAGGTGCACTTATGTTAATCAGATGATCAGATTTCTAAATTGAGTCCCTCACAAAAAATGTTTATTACATATTCATATGAAAATAAAACAATATTAATATTTTATCCCTTTCAAGGGAGTAAAAAAATGCAGTGTAGGGAAGAAGGAATGAATATAGAAGGAGTGAACCCTGTATAATATATTCTTTTATGAAAATGGAAAAATAATCTCATTTTATTATACAGTACTTGTTTGGGAAGGAGGGAGAGGCTCAGAGACTAAAGTATGTTTGTATGCTCTTGAAAATGTTGAGGTTGGGAGGGGGAGAATGGATGAACTCAAGGTAAAGAATAATAATGCAAACTGATACTATTAATGTCACACTATTAACTTTCACCCACTTTAAATACTGTACAGACCATAAGTCCATGTTAAAGCATACAGGAATTGTAAACTTGATAATGGTAAGCATGACTGTATACTATTTACTACTACAGTATATGTATTGCTACATAAATTGCTTATTATATCAAACAGAAAAACATTATTGCCAACTTCTGGCCAAATTACCAAATAATATCAATAAAAAACAATAACAAATATAAAATAACAAATAATAATAATTTATTTTAAAAAATGTTATGTGGTTCAATCTGATCATAAAAAACTAATTGGTTGACAGAAAAACACCTAAACAATTTCTTTCACAAGTAACATAAAGATTTAAATTTTAAACAAATTTTAAACAGGAAAATGTGACTTATACAGTATGAACATTACAAATTATGCTAATTTTAAACTTTGAACCTAATGACTTACTTGTATTAAGTTATGATTGATATGTACTGTACAATTAGATATTGTATAAACCTTGGCATTTTGTGAATTTGTACAATTTCCCAGTATCATGTAAATGGATGACTGATTAGAAAAAATGTAATACAGAGGATAAGATACTGTATTGTAACAAAGGGTAGTTTTGGAACAGATTTATGATCCGAGTCTTTGTGTTTGATACAAATTAAGTCAGATAGGCTTTTGACATGCACTAGGTCGATGACTTTAAATGAAAGAATAACTGAAGCAAAAACAGTAAAATGTCATTACTTACATTCCTCAATTGCATTGACATATTTAAATCCTCAAATCAGCTTTTCGCTGCTAGTGCTATGGACTTTTATAATGTCATTTTTTATGATGTTTTTTAAATATTAAATAAAGATACCAAGATAATAATTATAAGTAAACTGAAGCACTGCAGAACTTTTTCAACATATAAATACCTTTATTAAAAAAGTAAACTAAATATTTTAATATTTTTTTCATATAGTGTTCTCTCATGTTTCAATCTTTCTTCATAAAAATGTTCAATTCTAAAAATCCACAAAAACATACTGCCTATAACTATGCATTTTTCACCTCACATTTTTCATTGTTAAATAATCATGTCCCATCTGTGTCCATTCACTGTGAAATTTACCCATTTGTCATTCAATATAATTTCAAACAGAATAATAAAATTATAATAATACACTATTAATATTATTTATAGATACCATAAAAATAACAAAAGTTAGGCAACATCATATATAAATTATTCTCAAAATAAGAACCATTTTATTATGTACCCTTTTAGAAGGAGGGAATACAGAGAATAAATGAAAGAATATGTTTTATTTGCACTCTTCATTATTATTAGTAACTTGCCTAATTGAATACAGATTTCCAAGACACCAATGTTCCTAAATGATCAAATTCTATCTAAATGTGAAAGCTATTTTACTTTCTAATAATTTGATACAACATTGATTGCTGTAAATGCTCGAATAAGCTCCCCTCTCGAATAAGTGCAGCTCTCAAATAAGTGCTGCACCAAGCTTGATTTTTTAAGCTGAATAAGCACTGCAGCGCTTAATCAAGGGTTTATATTACCTTGTGTGTAATGAAATACCTTGAGAAACAGGGTTTTAAATACAATGTACTGTATACAGTGTTAAAATGAATACATAACACAATGAAGACAAAAGCATTTCTCTATAAACGTTTATTTACGATGATGTAGGACCTATGATATGCCTACTGAATTACGGAAATATGTGAGCTATGTAAATGGGAACACACATTTTTTATTAGCGCCGCTCTCGAATAAACGCCGCTCTCAAATAAGCGCTGCACTGGAGCCTCCAAAAATTTTATAAGCACCTTGGTGCTTATTCAAACATTTATGGTATGTTGCTATAATCTATTTATATTTATTTATTTATTATTATGCCATGATGCTGTACTTTGCATATCACACCATTTTTGTAAAACCTCTTGTTTTAATGAAGGTACCAGAATCCAAAACACAGTAATCTGAAATACTGTAAAAACTGACTACGTCTTAGAGTAATTTTCAATTATTTATTTGTACAGTACATTTTAAGGTCCAAGATAGAAAGTCAATCCAGAATATCTTGAGAATGGAGCCAAGATGACGGCAGCCATGATTTCAAGTACTATATAAGGACATATCATTGTAGTTATGATACCTGCCATCCAATGCATGTACTGTATATATCAATGATTCCTGTCAAGATATTTTTCATTGATCTGAATTTCTAATTGCACCAGTATATACTGTAGTAAACCTAACATCTATTGATTACTAGCTATACTAACTGTACAGACCTACAAACAACAAGGCTAATATGACAGGAATGCCCATAACATTTCCCATTCTTTAAATAGCGAGTACAGTGAGAACAGTTGACTCATCATGGTTATGGTTCAATATAAACATTGAGGTCAGCTGGGTTCGAATCTAACACTGCTCATTTTACTCATTTCATTGCCCTTGTTGCTCTTAAACTTACAAAGACATGGGTACCTGGAAGGATGTCGATGTATTATACCACACAGAATAATCATATTCACCCAGGGAACAGATATTGTACTTGTCACATGAAATTAATCAAATCACCAGGGGTTATAACAATTTTGTAAATTCTTTGCTACCGGTTTTCCTGATTAGAAGCCACGGTACATGTACAACTATGAATTACGTTTACTCACTATTGGAAGAGGAACAGAATGTGTTTAAAATACATTTAGATGACTTTAAACTGCACTAGAATTAAATAATTATTTTCTTCCAAGTTACAATTCTGTACTAGTTAGACAAAATGAACATTGACATAATAATAATCATAATAATAATATAATAATAATAATATCAAAATAGGCTATTCATGAGTAAAATGACAGTGCTATAGAACAATTATGTCAAAATTTCATTTTAAAATAATATTTCAGAATGCAAACTCTGAAACCAAAGTATATTAATTTCTTTAAAAAAATTTTTAAAAAACAATTCTTTTATTAACAACCATTACAAATTTATATTTTACAATAAATTTCAAATTCAATCTTATAATGTGAAATATTGTATTCAAAATTATCAATATGATAATTGCATTAAATATTTTACATGCTGCACATTAAAGTACTCATCTGTTTGAAGAGTTTGACGCAAGAGTGTATTTAACAAACTCACAGTGAAATACACTCTGCGTCACATAACATTCTAGAATGCATAACACAGGCATTAATCAAATCAAGATTTCCACTACACTAATTTCAGAGATGCAACATAGGAAATCTACAGCATAATGATGTCTAGGCCTATTACTAAATACTTTAAATTCTACCTCTACACCCAAGGAAAACCTACCATTTTGTTACATGTAGTATTCCTGTTTGAGTGCAAACCCCAGACTTTTTCCTAGGCCTACAGTAGCATACTATTATGTTTTCCAAGTATCACAGCTGTGAGAGGAACTGCATAGCTACCATACAACAGTAATAGAGGTCAGTGTTCGTTTAGACAGGCACTCTGCGTAGATCAGGCATAACATTAGTTGAGGTCCAATAGCTGTATGAGGCCCATGGGTGAGGCCTACATGACACATAGCAGCATGCTTATAAGCTCATTCAGATATTTTTATTTATTTATAATTTGGTATGTTTATAGTACTGCAAAGAATGTACGTTTCACAACAAACAAGATTCATGACTGAACGTATACATTTTTAATGTTAGCTGACCTTCAACAAACACTTTTTTCTTACAGTAAGTCATGGATTACTGACATGATAAACTAATCTTTGGTATTAAAATATTATATCATGAGGCTATTATTATATAAATTCCAAATTCTTTTTATCACTTAATACTGATAGCCAAAACTAAATAAAATCTATTTATTATATTTTCTATAAAATTCTCACATTTCATTATTAACTGTATTATTAAACTAATTGATCATAATCATTCATAATCATTCTTGGATTTGTAATTCATTAGAGGGGCTACGGTTTGGCGGAACCTACAGTAAGGTACTCCCCTTCCAATCCCAGGGTCTGGGTTTAATCATGGCAAAAGAAATTTTTTTTGTAATAAGATGCACAAGAACCATAATGAGGAGCAGATCAAATTCAAACGGGAGTAAACCTATTTAGACTTGCTATCGATGTTGCGTCAGGGGTCGTTTATAATGTACCCACTCTCAATCGAATGGTTTATATTTCACAAAAAAAAACCTTTACTACCTAATCTGTAAGTGCAAAGTGCTACAAACATGCACACTTTCTATTATTCACAAATGCTTAAGAAGGAAAGAATGCCCATTTTTCTGAACAGTCCCTCATTTGCTGGTGTGGCTCCCATAACCACCACCCCCTCTCCTTCCCTACAGTAACAATAACCTTAAAGGATGGAATAAAATCTAAAAGGCCTCGGCGATCATACTGTAGGCCTACAATACAACACGTCACGTTTGTCAATCAACATACATGTACTGTATGTTGTGCTACAATGGTTTAGCACCCCTCCACTCTGATATCCCATCTTTTTAACCTTTTCTATTCCTTTGAAATCTAGCTGATAATTTAGGTCACAGAGATCAATTAGGGGGTTTTATTCTTAGGTACAAACAGTACGCTGGGGGAGGCGGGTAGGCAAATTTGTACACTCTTACATATGCATAAAAATGTTGATTCAAAATAACAAGCAATATGTAAAATGATGGTAAAATTATAATGTAACCATCGATTAAGCAACCAAGTACATCGCTCTAGTTGACTTCACAAAAAAAGGGAGAATTTTTTTGCAAAAAATCAACATTTTTTTGTACACTTTCAGAGGGGAGAGAGGGGGTACCGAAAAAGAATACAGTTTGTACACTTGTGAAAATATTGAAAATTGTGCTTGATCCCTTAGCAGCAACTTCAATTCATAAATTGATCTGACCTGTATTAACATACAGTATAATACAGGTTGCCGCTATCTATTTCTAGTGCGAATAGTTTGTATACTGGCGTTGGTTTTTGTGTCTACTGCCCCATGGGGGGTGTAGACTCTTAGCTATCGTCTCATTTGTAAGTTTCAAAGAGAGTCAAATGTTATGGAATACCATTGCATAATAAGCTAAAGACAGAACACACGTTCCCACTGGGAGCATATCTTTTTTGTTTTCTTTCTGTTGATGTTGTTTACATTATGAAAATGTGAAATAGCATAAGCCTAAATCTGATAATAATTATGATTTCATTCTGTTCATAGAGTACCACAGTCTTGTCGTCACAACGCCAGGTGGCACCCTCTGTTGCCAACCAGACGTTGGTTACCATTCATTATGCCTGAATGACTTCATACTGTAGGCTTTCTGGAATAGGCATTTTAAAATCTACTATTTTACCATCAAAATGTACTAAAAACATTAGCTCACATTATATTAGTTTGAACACACATTTAATCATCAATTAAAATTTACAAAGAAAAACTAAGATATAACATCTTAATAATTATGTTAGAAATTGGGATCAATGGTTTGTCAGTGCAGTGGACAAAATTGCATCCGGTTGAACGCATTTTGCAACGATAGCAACGGAGAAGTATCACATGGTATCATGACTAACACTGCAGTACTCTGTACAGAAAGTAAGAAGACGTAGTAGTATTGACTTTCAAAGGTTCCATACTCTGGATTGTATGTGAGCTTTTAGAATAGCAAAGACTATTACCCTATTCAGACTAGACTTCTATTGACATTGGTTGCAATGCAGTTTTTGGGTGATTTTCCGTGCAATTTATAGCCATTTCTTGACAATCCCCGTGGATGATGTAGCTGTGCTAGGCTTATAGGAAAAAAATGCAGACTTAGTCATGTGGGTGCATTAATATCTACAGTACAGTACTTCATCTGGTGGAGTTCGCCCAAACAAGAGAAGAAAAACAAGGCAGATAATCTTGATCAAGAAGACGGTTTCCGGGCAGAGTTGACTGACCTCAGCCAATCAATGTCTGTGGAACCCGTGGTAAATCGGGAATAATACAGATTGTAGTGCAATAGCAAACAAAAATTTTGCAATATGGATTACTGATCGAAATGAGATGCTAGTCTGAATAGAGTAGGGATGTTCTTGTCTCTTAAGTTAAATATAATCATCTAGTAAGATTGGTAGGTTAGTCTAATTTATTTATTTAGACATTCTTATATTTATAAGTTATATGGTGCTCTACAAGGAACAGATCACCTTACAAAGCTTACATTTCAAAAACAAAAACAAAAACGAACAAGTGAAGACCTAAAAACAGCTCTACTGAAGAGAAAAGAAACATTTTAAGACGTCGTTTGAATAGAGATTCTGACACTGTTTTTTCGCAAATTGGCAGGAAGTGCGTTCCAGACACGCAGAGTGGCAATAGAAAAAGCACTAGGCCTAGGCCTACTGTATCGCCACCCTCTTTCAACTTTGTTTTTGGTCTTCTTGTTGATCTTAACAACTTAGGTAGGATTTGTACTCTTCTTTAGGTTTTGTAGGGTCATTTTGTTTGAGATTGTACTTTTTTTAAATTTAGTTCAAACAGGTTTATATTTAGCTTTTTTTTCTGCACTCCCACCCCACCCTCTCTAGCCTACAAAAATGCATAGGAGGGGGGACCTAGGGCCCGCTATAGCCTAGATAAGCACTAACTAGTAGTAGGCCTAGGCCCTAGGCTACCTAGCCTTGGCCTATAGGCTAGTTACTAGTAGGCCTAGGCCCTACCAATAGGCCTAGGCCTAGGCTAGAGGGGGCCTAGGTTAGGCTAAGTAGGCCGAGCCCTATAATAACAAGAATACAAATTACATACACAAGTGAGAAAATATGTACCCGTTTAAAATTTTAATAAAAGCATTAATATTTTCTACCAAGAAGTAAAAAGCATAGCGCTCGCCTTGTGCTACCCTAGGAGGGCCTAGGCCCTAGGCCTACTGTAGTCTAAGCCTCACGGAAAGGCCTTTCCGACTTCTCGGCGGCTACGTAGCGACAAGCAGGCAATCAATTTATTGCCTTGGCTTGGCCTACCTTTGTATGAGAATTTCTCGATGTTCCAGTCGGATCACTCCCATTACCACGTTGTTTCGAACCTGAGCTAACCCTTCGTCTTCTATTTTCACTCATATTTCCAAATTAATTTTAAGGATAACCTGAATGAACAGGTCGTTTCCCGGGATCAAATCAAATACCTACGCTGGCAGCCATATATATAAACAATGAAATGTCTTCTGGTAAAGCTGAAACATGATTGGTCAAATTTTCTCTCAACCACTGACAGGCGTTGACAGAACCAATCGAATCTACTGTATATATTTAGCAAGATATTTCTCTTACTGTACTTTTAACTATATTTAACCATCAATTTAAAAACATTAACAATACAATTATATCAAGTCTAAAACATGATCAGGGTCAGCTAATGTAAAGAAAACTCTATGGCCAACAATGTTTATGAAATATCAGATTTATTAATTATATTAATATTTTAACGAGGGTGCTACAACTCCATAAAAGTTTGCAAGCCCTTCACAAAAAAACAATTACAATATCAATAAGAAAAACAAAAATTTCATAATATACAACATGTGTAGCAGAACTTTAGTTAAATTTGTACAAACTGCACCAATGTTATGATTTTATAATTCATATTACTGTAATAAAAAAATTTAAAATTTCAAGAAGATAATTCATATATTATGAAATTGTTAATGTATAAAATTATTTACTAAATCTTTATATTATTATAAGCCTCAGATTGTATTATTACTCAGATTGTAAGTACTGCCAATGTGTTTCTCCAAATTCCAAAAATAGATCTGTGGCTTCGTCTCATGTTTGAATCAAATATTTTCCTTATCCTTCCTTTATTGTTTTTTATTAATTATATTGTATTGAGACAAATAGACAAAATAATAACACAGGTTTTAAATTAAATATTTGTTTTCTTTTATTTCATTTATTCTTTTTCATTCTCAGCCCACATAGCGCACCTATGCATCAACATTGAGGTGTGAAACAATTCAGAATTTGTAACTGCATAGCAAGGTACCGTTGGCACGTTAGCAGTCATGTGAATGAAGGGCACAAATAAGCATAATATGAACATGTACTTTATTGTTAAATCGTCACTCCTTTTGGCCTAGGTAGCGCAGACAAAATCCAACACAGAGAACCACATGTTTTTAGTAATCAATGAAAACTGTGTTAACTAATAAAAATATCATAGGATATTGGTTATTTTTGTCTTGGATTATAATAAATTTCAATAGCTTGGGCCTAATGTATGCAAGCTTCTAATCGCTTCAGACCCTGGCTGCTAGCCTTAGCGCTCCCGGCCACCGGCTCCTCGAAGGCATGCTGGATTCATACTCTCAATCAAATTATGCAAAGTAAATAAAACATAAATTAAACTGGATGATATGTTATACAAATACATTTCCTTGGAAAATGGAATATCATTTCATATTATTATATATAGCTATGAGGATGCCATTTGCTGTATATACAACCAAAGAACTATATACAATATATTATATTTTTTCATTTTATATTGTGTGGTGAATTTTAAGGTAGTCTGCAATTTTCCTCATCTTATTCACTCTTTTAAAAAAGTAAAATAATGATTCTTCACAATTGAATATTAGAGTTATTATATTATATTATATTAGAGTTATCTCCATAATTACTGTTAAATATCTTGAATGTGTGCTATGTCTGTACTCTGTCATTAGTTTTAGCCCAAAGATAATGAATTTACAGTTATTTTATTTTTATCTTATTCCTTTAGGTACATGGCCAAGGATTACCAATAGCAACTTAATCACTGTAGCAGTAGATAAGAGGCAATCCCTTCTCAAACATAAACCCATGTTGCTCTACATATATGGAGTGTTGTTTTGTTGAGAAAAAATCCTGGGATTTGAACCCAGGACCCTGGGATTGGAAAGCGAGCATCTATCAACCAAGCTATTCAACTGCCCTCGTTGAATTGCTGATCAATAAAAAGTTATCTTATTGTTTTTGATGTTTTTTTTTCTGAAATTATAAGATTTACTGTCAACAGTAAAAACAAATGGACAAACCTAAACAATTAAAATATCGACTTGCTAATAAATTTATAAAATATTTTCCATTCCAGTTTTCAACTGATAGTTAAAAACTTACTTAAGTATACAAAAGCAAGCAATTCAAATACTGTAACTCATTATTAATCTTTCAGTTTATTATATTCAAATGTTGTCAAAGTCTCAAATGATTCCTTCATCAAACAAAAAAAAAATTATAATATTTGTTGGATCCAGTTGTTCAATGACTTTCATCATTTCAAGTTAGTATATCTTTTATAAGCCAAATTACGAAATTTATATATGATTTTAACCAAATCGATAATGGACCCAAAGCATAAATTAAATAAAATTTTCATAATCCTCATAATATAAAGCATTTAAAACATTCAACCATCAGTAAATTTCTTCATGAAATTTGACACCGATGCCATGGCTGTGTTTAGCGTCCACAACATGTTATTAGATCCTTTGTAGGACATGTACAGGGTTCCCGCCTCCCCTTTGTAGCCTGCATGGTATAGCTGCTTGGTTAGGCCGGGTATAGCCCTTCTGTTCTTTTCTGTAACGTGGTCGACTAATACGGGATAGAACTTAGTGTTGACAAACGATGCAACTTTGTCGCAGGCAATTAAAAGTTCCAGTAATTCATCGTCATAGATGTCATCAGTTACCTGTAGTAGAACAAATAAACTGAATAAGATGGATGAAAAGAGTGAAAAATCACATCAAAAGGTAAAGTAAAATGAAATATTTGAAAACAATTTTTTAATTGCCTGGTAATCAATTTATGGGTTTCTGTAGTAAAAAGTCCAGAATGTCACCAACAACCAAATATAGGTCTCCCTCCAATTAAAGACCCCTCCAATTAAACACCACCTTTCTGTGGTCCCAAATTAACAAATGTCTTTTACCTTTATTATTCTAATTAGAGTTCAAAGCTGCTAAAGACAATGGAAACCCAGGTCCAAAAGTGGTCTTTAATTGAAACCTACAGTATCAATCTGTGTCTAATTTGATCTTGATAAATTATTATTAGTTTTTAATCATGTGACTGTTAATCCCTTTCATGTCACCTACACTTGGTTTACTATCTTATATTTATTTTTGTTCACTTGATCTTGAGAATGCGTCCATGATGGACACGAAACGTCGATCCTTTTTGTCAATAAATTTTGTGTTAAAATAAATTATTTCATCGTTTTAAATGAGTGACTCAATATTATACATTTTTTCGTGGTGAATTGGAACAGAGGAAATATTTAGACTGACCTCATCAATTCCACTCATGAACTCAAAAGCCTTCCGATGAACAACTCCATGACTCGTCAACAGCGCCACCTTCAGGCAGGCTAAATTGTAATGTCGATCTGCAAGCTCTTGGTAAATTCTCTCAACAAACTACGACTTTATGGAGTTGGTTACGAGTTATGTAGGAATTATGCCGAGCAGAGCACCGAGTTAACTACGAGATTATTACGAGCGTAACAAGTTTGTACCGAATTAAATACGAGTTAAGTACGAGCCAACTCGGTGCGCTCGTACTTACTCGTACTCGTTTTTGGGTGCTCGCATCAAACTCGTAGATGACAAAACCGCTGACGAGTATCCAGAGTAGTGTACGAGCTAGGTAGGAGTACCCCGAGTACCTGTCTCTTATACACATCTAGATGTGTATAAGAGACAGGGAATGGCCAATCTTCTTTGATGCTGTCTCTTATACACATCTAAGTTCAGAGCTGCTACGAGTAGGTAAGAGTCCTCTCCGAGCTTTCCGAATCGTCCTACGAGTTTTTGCCGAGTTTGCCGAGTTAGCAACTCGGCATTCTCTTGTAACTCGTATGCTGAAAAAACCCTTAGTGGGAGAGGGGCTTTAGTTGTCGCACAGGCCAGTGTTGAGTAAATGAGGTATAAAATATAGGAGCTCAAAAAATTACCTAAAAATCAAAATTTTTTTTTTTTACTGTAAATCAACAGTTTAATGTCTAATTAATCAGCTCTCTAAGTCCCAACTCTGAAAATTATCAACAAATTGTTTATCCAATTTTAATGAATGACCCCTCATTTTGAAGATTAAATACTCAATTATCTGAAAATACTAATAACAGGAATTTCAATTTTTGCCAGTTTGCTACAACATGCCTCAAATAGGCAATTGTGCCCCTTCTAAATCATGTCCATTTGAAAGTGCATCCAAGTAAACATTAGCATGTGACATCCCATGCAATATTCAAGTAAGAAATCATAACAGAGTGTAACACTCCCCAGATTTTAGCAAGGATCTGTGCCATCACAATTTAGAACACACTGATAGCACCCTTGGTTACAGCCTCTACTCTGAAGTATTCAGAGGAGGTCTGGCCGTAGCAGCAAAATTTAGCAGCACTGTACAGCACATTTAATCGTTGTACCACCCTTGTGGATTTTGTGTTTCCTGCACCGCACATGTTGTAACAATACTTCTAATGAAGGGATGCAGCTTAAAGGTGCATTCTCTTGGGGTGCAGCTTGTCTGTCACTGTGGCATCACACATACTTTCACCATTTGCTTATTATTTTATCAGCATTTAGCAAGGCTTCAATTTACTCGGTTGAAGGCAATGGTGATTTGAGTAAAATATCTTTCATCACTGCCCCTTTAAACCACGAGGTCAATGCCCTTATCAAATATGAAATAATAATAATAATAATAATAATAATAATAATAATAATAATAAGAAATACTTCAATAGTATCAAATGAATATTATAAAGCAATGAGTTCTTTGATAGTTAATCCCATGGCCCCATGGTCTTTAGAACCATTGGCCTCTAATTAGAATATTAAAGACATGGAAGTGGTCTTTAATTGGAGGATCATAAATTAGAGGAATGCCTGTATTTATTAAAATTTACCTGCTCTGTTGCGTCAATAACCAGCAGTCGTTTTGATTGTTGAAGACCAACATCTCTACAGAAATCTTGTAGCTTGGGTAGAATGTCATCAATCTTCAAAAGGTCACCACTAAACAAAACAAATGCCATTTTTTAAAAATAGATTTCTGAAATTTGGTTAATTTTTGTTCCATCAGTTTACATTAATTCTTAATTCTAACAGTTGTATGTATATTCAGGGGTCCCAAGTTTCCCGCCCGTTGCAGGAGTCCACAGGAAATCAGAACAGTGACCCACATGACATTCCCGCAAGCAAGAATCTCCCATTAAAAAAGCTCATCTTCCATATATTCATAATATTTGCATGTTTTTACTATTTTATTATCAATTCTCTAACAAAAAACAGTGCAAATGGGTATCACTAATGCCAGTAAAATAAAGTTGGATGTGTTAAGAAAGCTTGTTGGGCCAGATCTCCCGGAAAATGATTTCTTCCAACTTGAGACCCCTGTATTTTTTCTTACCTATTCTCCTCATGCCTTGTGACAGAATCCAAAAGATTCTTAAGTTGTGTAGAAAATGTCTGTTTATCTACATTAAAATCAGAGAGACTTGAGCACCTTGTGAAAACAAAGAGTAACTAGAATTAAAAAAGTAAAATAGGAACATTTTCTCTATGATTAAACATATATTATAATTAATAATATAAATAAGTGTATCAAATTATACAGCTCAAAAACAAAAAGAAACTTTTACACGAATTGCAAACACATACACACTCATGATAAAAGGAAAAATAGACCAAAATTTAATTTCAAAACAGAGATAAAGTTAACAAGATTAACTAAATAAAATTAATAATAGTACAGTATCACAAAAACAACTAATAACCATTCAATAATAGTAAAGATGGATAATGTAACAACAGTATAATCAAGATTGAATTCATAGTTTCCAGTGAATTTTACCAAAGAGTATAGAATTTCAAGAGGTCTGACTGTCTTGATTATACATGGCAATGAAACAAAAAACAAAGTACTACCACAAAATAGGGGGCGCCCTATTAGAATTTGAATAGCGTTCAAAATTTGAACAGGCGTTCTTCACTAGCAGTGCACATTCAATACTAACTATTTTTACGTTCTTTTGAAAAACACACTCTAAGTTGTGGCTGTAGTACGGTACTTTTTGAGATAAGATTGTGTTCATCACTGTCAATCATCGATCCAAATCCAGATAATATTTACATTCACAATGCTCTACTAGCCTGACAAAGACGTGCGTGACTATCTCTACTAGCCTGACAAAGACGTGCGTGACTAGCTCTACTAGCCTGACAAAGACGTGCGTGACTAGCTCTACTAGCCTGACAAAGACGTGCGTGACTAGCTCTACTAGCCTGACAAAGACGTGCGTGACTAGCTCTACTAGCCTGACAAAGACGTGCGTGACTAGCTCTACTAGCCTGACAAAGACGTGCGTGACTAGCTCTACTAGCCTGACAAAGACGTGCGTGACTAGCTCTACTAGCCTGACAAAGACGTGCGTGACTAGCTCTACTAGCCTGACAAAGACGTGCGTGACTAGCTCTACTAGCCTGACAAAGACGTGTGTGACTAGCTCTACTAGCCTGACAAAGACGTGTGTGACTAGCCTAAATTCATATGCGCATTAAATTTACCTTAATGAGTTAAGTAACGATTGCAAAGATTCTTGGTACACAACTTTGGTAGGTTTCTTCCAATCAGTCAGTTTAATTATGTTATTAATAATTGTGACATCTAAACCATTTACAGCCATCTTTGTTAGGAGAACAGCCAGCTAGAAAACAAGACATTGAATAATGAAAGCACAACTACAATTTCTATTGAGCATTTAAAATGTGGATTATGAAAAAACACAGAACCATTACATTAATACACTCTAACTTTATTATGGTTGACATAGCCTTAAAAAGTCATGTTGATAACATTGACAAAAGCTCGCATTAACTTTTTATCAACACTGATGGTTTATTATGGATAAATTCCGATTCAGTTGATTGCAAACAAGTCAGTTAAACCAAGTATTTAAATCACTATCATTATTGTTGTTATTATTAATCATCTTATTAATTTATCATATTAATATTAAATAAGCTTTACCTTGTCTACATCTCCAGCTGATAAATCATATTCCAGTGCATACTCAACTTCCATGTCCTGTTAAAAAAAAAACATATATGGATATTAGGAATCACCATAATGAACCATGATAGCTTATATATGTATCACATAAGAAACCATATAAGGAAATTCCAAAAATATGAATTTGGTGAATATACAAAAAAATTATATAGAAGAAAAGATACCTTATCAGAATTAACAAGCATTTGAATCGAAGAATCTTGTACACTGGTGATATGTTTCAAGTACTGTTTCATCAATTGCTGTTGTTCCTCTAAGTCTCCTGCTACTGGCCCTTTCTTTTTACCCCCTTGCTGCTGGATAGATTTCACCCCCCGCCTGATAATATTCTCCCTACATTCTACATCAAGCTGTAAGGGGAGTGAAAGAAAATGAGTAGAAGGCAACAGGTTGTTTGGAAATTTCAAATTTAAGGCTGTTGAGAAAATTAGCTTCACAGATTCTCTTTTAGCAGTGCACAAGCTGTTAAAAATGTAAGGGATCACTACAGACAGTTATATAAAAATATCTAGAGTGCTATAAAAAATATATAATTATTATTATTACTAATGTAATGATATTATATTATTATAATTTATTAGAACATCCATATTATAGTATAACAGTGTAAAACGATAAATACCTTTTCTAGACTCTGCTTGGAAAATACAATATTGCGAATAATACTGACGACTTCTTTGGTTGACACTCGACTGAAATACTCCTTGCAGGCTTCAAAGCGTTTCAGCCAATCAGCCATGCTCTGTGGGGCCTCTTTGATGCCTTGATCTCCCTCCCAAAACAGCTTCAAAATATGTGCAGAAAATATGGCTTCAGGATCGAGAAAACCTCCACCCTGAAATAAAAATGATAAATAACCATATTAGTACATGCAATTATTATTAATAGCAGCCGATAGTAATAAAAAATTTTTCCCCTAATATTACACATAGTTTCAATAATTGTAAACTACTAACTACTAAAGACTCTTTTATAATTGGCTTGGAAAGAAATTTGAGTTAGCTGTTCACCAAGTTGACAAGTTCACGTCTTAATTATTTCAGATCCACATTCATGTCTGAGTCAAGGGCAGATCCCAAATTATTGAAACTAGGGGGCACCAATTTCATATAATCATAGATGGATTATCGTAACACAGATAAATAAGTATCCAATAATAGTATGAATCATGTTCAATGTACACTGTAGTTGTAAACTTTTGTACATTTATGCCAGTTTGTACTTTATTCTGTTAAAAAATAAAAGAGAGCAGTGGCAAAACTGGGCAGAGACGTTCCCCCTCCCCACCCCCTTTTCCCTTCCCTGAATTAGCCCCTGTGGGTGCATGTTGAAAAAGAAATTTCCAAAGCTTTTAATTATTTTACTTCAAAGACTGTAATGAAGTGGATATATTCAAATTTTACAAAACATGCATGCTTACTGGTTTTGGGATCTTGGATGCATTTTTGGCAAACACATGGACGTTGGAAGAGTTGAGTGTTGGCTGGATCACCTCCATTGGATCTGCTTCACCGTCAGTAAGAGCTTTGTAATCCAGACCTAATCAAAAAATATATGGTCTTGCTATAATTCATGCAGACTTGCTGGGCAAGCAAATTATGTAGCTTTATTAAACAAATATTCAGTAATGCATTCTTTGGAGAGATATCTTCTACCTCACATACGTAATAAAAAGAAAATGAGGTAAATAGCATGGTGACTGTTTCTAATATTTAACACGCTATCATAAACAGGTTACTAAAACAATAAAAACCTTAAACATTAATACTCTTTTATTGTATATCCTGTAAAGCACGAAGTATACATACAAGACGTTCAAAGTATGTTCTAATTATGAAAACTTGTTTTGTATATATTAATAATAATATTAATAATTGCAAGGTGAAAAATGGGAAAAATATATTACTTAAAAACTGGAATAATTTTTAATAAGCTTCAACGATATTGAAGGGGATTTCCTTTTCAGTTAGGAAAAATCCCGAATGGCAAGAATCAACTTAAAATTCTGTGATAGAGATAGAGAGAGATCAACAAAATGCCCCCAAAATAAAAGCAAGAAAATCAGTATAGAAACATGGCAAAACATACCAAAGGCTGCCGACTTAAGCTTCTTCAGGAGTTTCAACTGAGTATCAGGGTTGAGGCCATCGCCTTCCTGAACACCACAGCTATTGAGTAAGGTAAAATAATAGAGCAGCCTAGAATGATCTCGACCATCTAACGTAGGGTATACAGAGCTGATAAGCCTGGCATGGAAGTCATTGGGTTTGGAAAGCAGTGGGCCTAGGATTTCCTTGCTTTTGATTTTCTCCTCAACTTCTTCTGTTGATAGCCTGGAATATATCAGTCAATCATTATGTATTTGTGTTCATTAAAAACTCTTGGACTTTTATATAGTCTATGTCAAATATTTTTTTGGGGTAGGCAATATTTTTCTCCAAAATAAACATATCTAATATATTTTAAAAACTGCTCATTATATTGTACTAGTGTCAAAAACACATTAATTACAACACTTGATAATATGTGTTGTGAAAAGTATTGTTTTTTACATACAGTAATTGTTTGCTTTAGTCAATTAAGTTAAACAATCATAGGGTGAGAGGGTCCATGTATTTATACCTACCCACTATCAGTGAAAAGGAATTCCAGGTATGTACAATGCAGCTCCCATAATGACACCTGGTACCTGTGAGCTAGTGACACTGCTATATTATACACCTCTTCATCAAGTGTCCTACAGAAATACAAACCACTAAGTAAAATACATATGTAATGTAACATACAGTAAGATATAGTGTTACCTAAATCAAAGTTGCATGCACATGTTATGATAGATTAGAAAAAAAATAAGAATATTTTTGGACTAAATAAGAACAAACATTAAATGTTTATGAGCTCACATGACAAGGCCTAGTATTGTTTCTTGTTTGTATTCATCATCTGAACTGAATCTAGAAACATCAACACCTGCAAAGTAAACAGTTGATCAATTTAGTTAATTGATCATGTCACAGCTCCATGTGATTAGATGGAAAGGGAGTCTTAGAAATATTAATCTGTGAGGTGAAACAGATAACACCTGCAGAATTGGAAGACAGCTAGATATGTAGGTAGGACTTAAGTTTGCACACCTTCTTAGGAAAGCTGAGAACTGAAGAAAAAAAAGGAATCTCCCATGACAGTAACACTATAGGACAGCAAGGCAGGGCATGCCATCATCATTATTTCAAACATTTTACCATTATTGAATTTTATCAATTGTAAATATAATTGTCCATATAAATAAAATGTGTAGCTGTTTTACTCAGCTAAAGAACAATATAAGAAATGACAAATTCCAGCACTTTAAAGACTAACTAAAAATTTATTATCTCTGGCTTTCGTCAACACTGTGAACTTCATCAGGAGACTGTACAAACGGGATAAGTAACATCTATAATATACATCAAAGATAATGAGGGGAGGTACTGACCATATAGGGTGTAAATATAACATTATTAACGGCTTGCAATTATTAAAATATGCTCACCTTTTCCAAGACTCCGAAGCATCTCTGCCTGCACAACATCAGCTAACAGCTTCAAAAACCAGTCTAACTGCTCATACAGATTTTTAGCTTCCTCCCCTTGTAAGCGATTACCTTCACTCACCTCCAAGATCAGATCTGAAGGAGATTTAGTGAAGACATCAGCTAGGCCAGCTTCATTACAAGGATGCTGGTGGCTGTAGATTTGAAGGGCATAGAAGTAGGCACCAAGCTGCAGGGAGATGACTGAATGTGGAAGGCTGCGCAGACACTTATGTGCATCAGTGGCCTAGAGGACGGCAAGAAAGAAGTTATTAACAATTATTAATCTGTTAGAAATATGACATAAATAATTAATTTGTTGACCAATAAACTATTAGAGCAGAAATACTAGGTCTCTTATGTTAGGAGGATTCGGTACAAAGAAACCAGTGTGTTTCTTGAATACAAAATAAGGTCTATGAAACATATACTATTAAAAATATTCTGTAAATTACAAATGGTTTCAGTTTACCTTTGGAAGTGATAGTAGATAGCTTAGGGCAAGTGTTGCATCCACTGGCAACCATTCTGAACAAAGCTGAAGGAGTACTGAAATTCATAAAATTTTAAAAATGCAGTTTTATCCATTCATTGTCATAGTCAAACCATAGTCACCATCACAACTACAGTCACCACCTCTGCCACCACCAGATACAGATAAGTCAATTATAAAAACAATAAATAATCAATTTACATCATCATCACCTTACCATAAACATCATTAATTATTCCAAATATCACTATCAATAACAATAACACCATCAATATCATCCCCATTATCATCACCAACATCACATACTCCCCCAAATTATCATCATGGAAAATACCATCATTATTTCCATCACCATCATCCCTATAACCCTCATCATCAGCCCTTTACTATCTTCTCCATCATCATCATCTTGATCACAATTATCAACATCACCAATCAGCATCATCCTCACCATCATTTCTACCACCACCATCCTCATCCTCACCACCATCCCTACCACCACAACCATCCTCATCCTTATCCTCATTAACATCATTGCTACTACCATCACCATCATCATCATCGTCATCAATCAACAATCATCATCCCTGTTAAAATCATCCCTATAAGAATCATCTTTATCATCAACACTCTATCACCACGATCCTCAATACAAATTACAGTCGTCCACATCACCAATCAAAATAATTCTCATCGCCATCATTCTCCTCACTATCTAAACTTTAGATCGCGTCACATTTCACGTGTAAATTTCACAAAAAAGTTATTATCACCGTGACTATCAGGTAGAGTTAGCATCTGACCATCAGACATCAAGCTGGCACGCAGCATCGACTGCTGCAAAAACCTAGGGTAGGCATCACCAGATGATGTCACAAACCGATCATACTGCATTGATGTCTGAAGAAATATCAACAATTTAAAGCAATAGTCTTTATAAATGAGAACAGCTATTTTTCTTGTTGAGCCAATACATTTCCTTAACATTAACCTGTTTTAGCTACTGCAGTGCTATACCTTAAGAAAATAAAAAAGTAGCAGTTGCTGAAACTGTGTTTCCTTTTATTCTATGGAACCAGATGGAGTTCTTTAAGAGATGAGAATGGTGCAATTATTTAACTGTATACAGGTTGTAGGTACATACCTAATGTACATTGTCAAGTTATAATACTTACAGTATACTATTAAAGATGTACAAGTTACATAATATAATTCATATATTGTATTTTGTATAGGTGTATGTTCATTGTATTTAATTATACGGTTCCAGGGATGGTCAATAAAAAATAAAGAAATACATCATAGTCTTACCTTGTCCAGCAATGCACCTGATATGACATCCTCATAGAATGGATGACACCCTTGTTGCTCCATAGCTTGGTTGCCATGGCGATCACTATCACTGGATACACTACTCTGTTGATGCATGAGCGGTCGTATCCAACCTTTGACACTCCCCCAGGACATGCCGCTGACACTGGACAGAAGGGATTTGGCCAATCCTGCTGAGTCATTCTTCCAGAAGATAGAAAATTAAAACAAATTAAAGATTGAATTACACAATTCTGTAATGATGTAGGCAGTGAATTATACTTACCTAGATTTTTTTTTAAAAGTCAATTCTCTATAAAGTAAGAACACCCCTCATGAATATATGGAATAGTCTGACCTACAAAAACTACACTGCACAAAACACACATACAGGATACAGAAACCTGGGATTGGAAGGCAAACACCTCATTCATAAAGCTACAAAATGATTACACACGCTCAATGATTAGGCCTACCTGTGTGTCCATGGTAACATCTTCTTCACTTTCTCCTCCTTGATCTTCAGCAAGATTTCCAAGACGTTGATATAAGATCTATAAAATGAATAAAACAATGTTATTCGAATGATGATGACAGCCAATCAAATGATAGAAGGATTAGGAGTTTCAAACGGTTTATGTAAATATAAGCATGCTCATATAAATAAGATTCCTGCGGTTTTTCAAAAAGAAAAATTTAAAAATAACAATCTACTACAGTAAATTATTATATTACTATTATACTTAATAGCAATAATGTTTACCTGTGTTTCAAGCTGTGTTTTGGACAGAAGTATATCTAAGAGGTTGTCTGGATCACAGTGGCTAACAGCAAATGCCAATAGGCCAGATCTATTGGTGGAGAAAGAAGTTAATGTAGTATGTAAAGGCATTTTGCTTTAAGTTTTTTGTATTGATCATCATAGACATGGCCACTATTATTCACACAATTTGTTCAACATCTGTCATTGACATCCATCACTAACATTCATCGCACATATTTTGATCAACATTATGAACTTCTTTATTGTCATCATCATTCTCATCACCGTCATCTTTACTGTTATGTCATCCAAACACCAAATCACATAATCACTATCAAAATGACCAACCAATAATCATTACAAATGTTTTTTAATCATGAACAAACCTATCATTAGCTCTTTCATTTTATCACTAGATAAATATTGATTATTTAGTACTTCCACAAAGTTATGTTATCGATTCTTTAGTACATTCACAAAGTTATGTTATCGATTCTTTAGTACTTCCACAAAGTTGTGTCATCGATTCTCTAGAATTTTCACAAAGTTATGTTAAGATCTTTATTCATTGCCACATGTGAACCTGAACTGTCAAGACCAAATCTTTCAACTCACTTTGCTTCAAGTTCTTTGAAGTCTGGTGCTTCTCCAAGTTGCCTACAGACAGGCCATATAGCGCTGTAGTTATCAGCCACCAATTCACTGCATACCTGGTAGGCAAGTTTGTAATCGTTTACCTGGTAAATGAAAAGAAATGAGACAATAAAACCTGCATGGAAGATAACAAATTCTATTGCATGGCAGAGTCACCAAATGACAAACAGAACATTTCAGGTTGGTATCCAAAAATGTGAATAGTATGTTATTTTCAAACGATTTTGGTAACTCACCTTCATAGCTTTTTTTGTGATTAAGCTGAACACCTTTCCTTTCCTTTCCATTTCATTTCCACCACAAATTCGAAGCAATTTAGCTAATTTAGTTAACTACAAAAAAAGGAACAACATATTGTTAGCTAAAATTAATATGATGCAGCATTATGATAAATTAACTAATTGTTGATTTTGGTAGTTCTAAAATTCATTTTTATATTCAGTTTTTTTATTATTTTCAATGTTTTTTTGTTGTAAATCCGATAACAATTGTTAAAATATTCTATTCATTTTTTGACATTATGTATTTTTTATTCAATTATTATTGTGCAATAACATAACTTAAATTAAATAATAATAATAATAGAACCAATAATTCTAACTTACCAATTACGAATAACGTAACTTAATAATAATCAATAATTTTAATAATAATGTGAATTGAATTGTATTTTTCCTATCTTAATTGTGTAGTATAAGCAATTTTAACTTATCTTATTTTTCTTAATATCTTCTCAATTTTAACTGATTGTAATGTTTTATTGGCCATTGTAGTTTAAGTAATATATGTCCCTATCTATTTTTATATTTATTTTTTAATTGATTGTTTATCTTGTTTTAGTGTAGTTATAATGTGAAGCACCTTTGAACATGATTACTTAATGAAAAGGGCGCTATAAAAATGTGGTAAATAAATAAATAAATAAAAGCAATTAAGTTGACTGAGAGAAATGGTTGAATCTTTGCTTGAATACATCTAAATGCGTAAAAATACTGGAACTTTCAATTCCATAGCATTTATAATTAAATAAGTGTAAAAGATTTCTCTGCCTGCCATAATTAGTATTTCATACTACATGTGGTCATACAAAAAGGTTTCCGTATTTTTTTATAACTAAGTGAAGGATTGATGATTAACTTTTTTGGTCTTAGCCCTTTACCAATATAAAGTAGCATCTTGCCTTATTAGCATCGAAATTCATATTTCATTATTTCAAATTAAAACTGTTACTATCACCATTATTACATTATATTATTCTTGCTCGTATTTACAACAAAATTAATGACATAAAAAATAAAATGAGAAAAGAATATTTACCTTTCGCAGATCCTTGTAAGCATTAGGTGATGATTCCAATGCTTCTGCAACTAGTTCCAAACGATCTTCACATAGTCGCACTGAGAAAAATAAATTTTTTTAGAATGATGAATCACGTCAATTGACTTTCTTTCATTAGTCTTTCTCTAGAGAGTATTTTTATCATCAGTCAAGAAGGGTTACCGATAATTCCTCCACTATTCGCTAAATGTTGTAAGCCTGATTAAACACCAATCATAAACCCCTCCCTTTGGGCTACTATTGTGGGAGGCATGTGTAAACACCTATCAGTCACATTATAGCCTCTCCCTATTAGTTAGTATTATAGGAGGTGTGTTAAAGACCAGTTAATCACAATGTATTCTTTCCCTACTGGCTTACCTTGCAAGGGGAGTACTGAGACCTTGAAATCATCGAGTAGAGCAAGTGATGCCACAAGGTCCAGTTCCTGCTGTATGACGTCAGGTATGTCCTTCATTATCTGCAAGCATGATCTGTAAATTAAATAAATCAGCAATGACGTTGCTAGTCCATGAGTTAGATACCTATACTTTGTACGACAAATCAAACTTCATTTCCCGTAAACGATAGACGACACAACACCGCCCGCTTATTGTCGGTGGGAGTCTGAACAGATCATCATAGAAAACAATCCGTTGCGCATGCGTCGTTGCATTTCATTTGACATAGAATCATGTCGGCCGATGAACGTCGGGTGCAGTGCCTGGTTTTAGATAACCCACTGTATGCAAAACATCAAAACTGTCTTCACAAACAATTATGTAAGTTAATGCTTATTCAAATTAAATATGGCAATTTGGGATGGATGGTCCACAAGTTTCATGGTAAGTTTGGCAAAAATGGTAACTTTGTATAGGCCTGAAATCTGTTCAATTATGTATATACAGTTAAACTTTAAAGCCAAATTGTGGTGTTTTCCATTAATTAACGATCTGTAAGTTGAGTTTTATCTAACTCGAACAATTTTTCAATGCCATTTTGGATTCAACTGTATTTACAAAATAGACTATATTTAGTTGTCATACCAATTTCTGTGGAAGTAAAAACATACAGTAGTGGAGTGGTATATATTAGCATAATGCTGGGTACTAACTGAGTCATATTTTCTCCATGGTCATACGACAAACTGCCACAGTGAGTGATATTTATTAAAAGGCAGAGGTATGCACTTATGCAGTGACAGTTCTAGTTACACAGCTGATTTTCATCAGTCAGAACTATAAATCATGTATATTATGATCATTAACATTGATTCAATTACTACCTTGCCAGACCCATTGACGGGTCCATGAGATTAGCGGATGAGTTGAAGTACTCTCTGGCAGCCTCTACAGTCAGACTGGAGGACCTTTCATAGCCAATTCTTCCCCTGCTCTCAGGTCCCTCCTTGGCTGGACTGAGGACTTCTTCTGCTAGCCTAATGGTTGGTAAATGGTTTGAACCCAGAAGACCTTGCACATAAATCTGATGATGATGATATGATAGATTAGAAATATGTGACTTCGATTATACATACAATGATGGATACATCAGGATCATAATGATAAACAACAATCATGATTATGATTGTGATAGTCATAATATTGATTTTGACAATATACATTAAGGAGTTAACTAAGTTTCAAGTCAAATCAAAAGAATCAGCAGTGATGTTATTAGCCTATGTGAGAGATACTTACTGTACCTGGATAAACCGAAAAATGCCAGTTTCCTTGGAAACTTACCCCTCAAGATTAAAAGAAAATAATGAAATCACCCTAGCTCGCCTGTATAAGCCCTATGTTAATGAAAAGCTTCCTCGTTTATGTATAGATGGGATTTATCGGTTTATCCATGAAGTGTTCACGAAACAGACTGATCATTTTTGTTTTGTAACAAAACATTTCAATGAGCTAATTGTGAAGAACAAATTTTAGGATTTGAAAATGATACTAATAATAATAACAATGATTGTGATACAAATCGAATTTCTTACTTCATGGCATGTCTCCTGCTTAATGCAGCTGTATACATTTCTCTGTAGATTCAGAAGATCTTCCAACAACTGATGCCACTCCTTCTGGTCAGGTAAAACTTTTCTGTTAAAAGGTAATTCCATAAAAAATTACTGATAGTATCCATAAAATCTCAATACAGAACTAATTGATGGCCTAAAAATTATCATAAACACCAAAAAACCACATAATAAACATGAAAAAAGTGATGACTTGAAATACGAATAACATACAGATTATGATAAGACCTAGCAAATATTGGCATGTTGAGTTTTCAAAGCAATTCAGATTTAGGGTACAATTTTAATTGCATTAAAATCAAATAAAATAAAATAAAATTTATTTATTTTTATTAGTAATAATAAATATAGACTTTTTTCAATTAGGATGAATGTGTAAAAAGAGAAACATATAATTCAATGTCTTAAATTGTGCTATAATTGGTTAAAAATCATGTGACAGATGGCAGCAGACTATAATTCCATCAGCTTCTACAAACTGGAATGCTGTCGTACCTTTTAGCAGCTTGTCGTGTCAAGCGTATCATAATTTTCGTAGCCTCTTCTTCATCTTGTTCAGTTTCCTTTAAAAATCTCAGAGTCTTCTCAATCTGATGTCGCTGAAGAAGCTCTTGGGCCTGGAGATGCGTATCAAGTTTATCAACAGCCCCAGTTTCACCTTTAGCTTTTTTCCGTGAACTAATAAAAAAAATATTTATGCAGATAAAAGTGAGTCTTGAATTGAAGGTTTGCATAGCAAATTGACAATAATAATTAATTATGTGTTTTCGGTCCACCATGTGGCATATAC